TGTCATATTTACATGGCCGTAAGCGTCGCACGGGGACCGCTGGTCGCTCTATGAATTTACAGCCGCTGCTACAGACGCCACAGTGACCCACAACACAAATAGTGTCTGGTCGCCCTGTCCCTGACCCTGACCCCTGCCTGAAGGTACAGCCTCCATCCTCAACAGACACTAGGGGTTTACGTTTGTGTTCTGGTTTGGTTGCACAGAGCCCCAGAGTAGTACCTACGTTGTTTTTTTAGCACTGCTTTCTCACATGTTCGTTGTAACTGGGATGGATACCCTGTTTCATGGGATACTACAGCATACTGTAATAGTATACTGTCGTGGCATTCTGCCGTAGAATTCTGTGCTGTAGTAGTATTATGTCATAGTATTCTGCCGTAGGATTCTGTCATAGTATACTGCAGTAGTATTCTGTAGTAGTATTCTGTGCTGCAGTAGTATACTGTAGTAGTATTCTGGGGATACTATAGTTCCTCTCCCTTTCCAGTCTAATCAGTATTGACTTACTGAGCGCAAAAACACATCCATCAAAAACAGATCTGCTAGGTTGAATTCTCCTCTATAATATCCTATTGATTCTATCCCACTCTACTATGCCCAACTGAAAACTTCCCTACCAGCTTGGCTGGCAAGCCTGGCAGCGGAGATCTCCCCCTCTCTGATCTATCACTACGTCAGCCTCTGCATTCAGACACCACTGAATTCAATTTATCATCCGACTGCTCCCACGCTCGTCAAAAAAAAAGCACTCAGCCAGTCATTAGAAGGAGAAAGTCCATTTCTCAACAGGCATTTGTGCTTGGCTATGGTGAAAGTGCTCTGTGTCCTGTCAGTTTAGTGTTGACTGGAGTGGTTTTCTGCTCTGGGTGAGGACTGACTGGGACAATGTGCTGAGGGAGGGGGAGAGGGTGAGGAAGAGAGATGGGGGAGAAGGGGAAAAAGAGAGCAGAGAGAGAGAAAGAGCGAGAGGAGGGAAGAGGCTGTGGGGGGGGGGGGGGGGGGGGGTTATCCACTCCACCACACTACCCTGGTAAAACACAGACACACTACCCTGGTAAAAAAACACGACACACTACCTGGACAGACCACTAACCCTGGTAAAACACAGACACACTACCCTGGTAAAACACAGACACACTACCCTGGAAACCACAGACACACTACCCTGGTAAAACACAGACACACTACCCTGGTAAAACACAGACACACTACCCTGGAAACCACAGACACACTACCCTGGTAAAACACAGACACCATATTTTAAAAAACAGGAGTCATATAAGTGTGAGATGACGTAGACTCAGCCAATCAACTCCTGCTGGTATTTGATTGTTGTTTTGCTACCTGTTGAGATTGCGAACACAATTCCATTCAATCCTATCACATTCTATGTAGTTCAAGTCTACTTTATACAATTCCCTTCTACGGCGGGAGCCTCCGAAACCGAGGCGGGAGGGGTCAAAACATCATATTCTGTATGCTGAGGAGCACTCGAATATCTGAAGGGGCGCTTACATGCTGAGGGGAAAAAAAAAACAAATCATTCAAACGCAAAAGAGAAGAGCATCTCTTGAATGAATGTGGGAGGAAAACGCAGAGAAACACAGCGAGAGGGCAGAGGAGCAAACAACATCCTCAACGCCTGTTCAGTCGCCGATTTCCTGCATTAGCTCCCTTCCAATCCTACACAGAAGCCATGAGAGTCAATACTGAACGCAGTATATGTTGACCATGTTTTTTTCTTAGTTAGTTGTCAATGACAATGTCAATCTAAAACTCAGCCATATAATATACACACTTGACTGTAAATGACTACAAAGCCAGACATGTACAGACCACAAATGACTACAAAAACCAATAAGAGGCTAAACTAGCAACACCTAAAAACGTGTAATGGCCTGGCTGAAATAGCATTGTTACTGCCACCATTTAGAACTAACTAAGCCTTTTAAAAAGGCTCTGCTCCTCCCAATTATAGGAGAGGACAGGAGAAAGTGAGGCCGGTTTACCGTGTGAATTAACTAGGGTCACTTGGCCACCCTCGCATTATATCATTAGTCCCATCAAGGTCCATTTTTGCTGTTGTCCTGTTCTAACATCTGTTGTCCTGTTCTAACATCTGTTTGTAACTAGTCGCACTAAATTGCACAGAACACATGGCAAAGGAAGGAATGTCTACTAAAATTGCTCCGGACTGCAATTTGAGGGCTATTTTTGGTCTCCGGCTCCAAATCGTAACTAACTAAGGGCTTTAAAGGCTTAGTAGTGAGCTGGTCTGTGTTCGCTTTGTCCAACTCCTGAAGGAAAAACACAAAGAATGTGATTTTTCTACTCTGGTCTCTTCAGTGAAGTAGTGCTTGTTCATGGAGTGTTTTCTGTCTGAACTTGGATGAATAGGAAATAAATGGGTTTGTTTGGATTACAAATAGATACTGTACATATGGATTTTCTTTGTAGTGGAACTTCTTCTAAATTCATTCTTTACACGACTGAGCACAGACATGATTCAAACCCCTTCTTTTTCTATCATAGACACTAATGCAACCGCGGCAGCAGTGAGGGAGAAGGGGCAAATCTGATGGGGGAGACACAGGAGAGGAGGGAGACGGAGGGAGGAACAGGAGAGGAGGGAGACTGGGGGGGGGGGGGAGACAAGAGCGGAGGGAGACTGGGGGGGAGACACAAGAGAGGAGGGAGACTGGGGGGGAGACACAATAGAGGAGGGAGACTGGGGGGGGACAAGAAAGGAGGGGGATGGAGGGGGGTAGACACAAGAGAGGAGGGGGACGGAGTGGTGGGGAGACAAGAGAGGAGGGGGACAGAGTGGTGGGGAGACAAGAGAGGAGGGGGACGGAGGGGGGGGGGAGACAAGAGAGGAGGGGGACGAGGGGGGGAGACAAGAAAGGAGGGGGACTGAGGGGGGTAGACACAAGAGAGGAGGGGGACGGACAAGAGAGGAGGGGGACAGAGGGGGGGGAGACAAGAGAGGAGGGGGACGGAGGGGGGAGACTTAGGAGAGGTGGGGGGTGGGGGTGGGGGGGGGGGGGGGTGGATAAGGACCCCAGTGGTGAGGGGGACAGCCGGTGAGGATGACAGGAGAGGGGACAGTACGGACCGGACAGCACATTTAGCACTTGGCCCAGTGGACAAGGGTGCAAAGGGGACAGAGCAGGTGGCTGATAGGAGAGAGAGGCAGGAGGGGAGAGTTGACAGATGGCACCAAGGAGGATGTGTGTGCACTAACCCGGCACAGGAGAGGAGAAGATATGCTCCAGAGAGATCTACTTCTCTCTCTCAATTACAGAGCTAAAGGAAGAAAAACTCCCAGCCTCAGCAAGCGCTGTTCACAGAACAACACGGTCAAGCTGGGCAGTTTCTATAGAAGGTAATACTTACTTTTGCACCTCTGTGAGGCAGCTTTCGTAAGAAATGATAGGATTGTTAAGGATGCTGATGGACCACATGCTGACACAGGGAGGAAACACATGTATGGAAACTGTAAATCAAAATAAACAAAGGGCTGGAAAAAGGAAATATTATGGACATTTACATCCACTTCAGGAAATATTAACTTTCCACATTCACTGTTTGTGTAGCTGTAACAGAGCACTGAGCTCTCATCTTACATGAGAAGAACTCCCCATTATGTAATGTAGGGGGAGAAAGGGCTGCTAGCCTGCCAGCTGTAGCCAATAACCTATTGTACCTTACAAAGGCAGTAGGAATCATTAAAATGGCCCTTTCGTGTCATGGGATAAGAGTGTTCTCTCTGACGTCCTGCTGAGGGCAGGCGAGTGTGTCAGACCATCTGCTTTACCGACTGATCCCAAACAAAAACTAGTTTTAGGTCACAAGACACCCCTTGCTGATCCCCCCTCGTTGAGCAATTATCTGAGATATGCATAATGCTATTAAAAAAGCTGCAGGTCATCATTATTTCTGACTTGGTGCCTTCGAACGGGGAGAACAGAACACTGCTTGGGGGGAGCTATCTGACCGACACCCCAAATTATGCTAATCCATTAACCACCTGCTCAGGAGTAACGGGACAATTCACACCCCATTAAACCTACAGAAATGCAGTGCTGCAGTTAGTTTGGTAGCTACTGTAGATATCTGTAGGTGGATGTGCCGATTGTTGGAATCATAATGAATGGTGCTTCTTGATTTGGCAGAGAAATAGCACAACTTCTAAAAAGGAGGACGGGGGAAAAAAAACTTCACCTCTTCATCACCCAGCCTGGTATTTTTCTCTTTCCCCCACATAGGCGTTTTGATACACCCATTACTATTTTTAGGACCTGAATCTATTCTGGTGTCTGGTGTTGTTGTCTTTGTTTCTGTCTCTCCCTCTCTCTGGAGGTTTAGGGTTATCTTTGTTTCAGTCTCTCCCTCTCTCTGGAGGTTTAGGGTTATCTTTGTTTCAGTCTCTCCCTCCCTCTGGAGGTTTAGGGTTATCTTTGTTTCAGTCTCTCCCTCTCTCTGGAGGTTTAGGGTTATCTTTGTTTCAGTCTCTCCCTCTGGAGGTTTAGGGTTATCTTTGTTTCAGTCTCTCCCTCTGGAGGTTTAGGGTTCAGTTCTCTCTCCCTCTGGAGGTTTAGGGTTATCTTGGTTTCAGTCTCTCCCTCTGGAGGTTTAGGGTTATCTTTGTTTCAGTCTCTCCCTCTGGAGGTTTAGGGTTATCTTTGTTTCAGTCTCTCCCTCTGGAGGTTTAGGGTTATCTTTGTATCTGTCTCTCCCTCTCTCTGGAGGTTTAGGGTTATCTTTGTTCTTGTCCTACTCGCTTTGCTGGTCATACTCTTTGTTCAATATTCACATTGTCTACTGTGTTCTATGCTCTACTCATGTCCAGTGTCCTGCCTTGTGTTTGAGAAACCCTAATGTACCCCAAACCGCCAACAATATGATCACTACTACAACCAAGTTCCCCCAGAATGAGCACCGGGTTCTGTGTTCTATCTAGAACCCTGTCCATTTGGTTCCCCTCCCAACGTACCGTGCTCTAGGATGATGAGCTGAGCGCTGGACTGCACGTTCCCTGCGTCGTTCTCTGCCAGACACTGGTAGAAGCCCTCGTCAGACTTGACCAGACCCAGCACCTGCAGGTTGTGTTCATTCTACGGTCAGAGAGAGAGGTCAATAACATCAGGTGGTGAAGAGATAGGGAAAGAGGTCAATGTATTGAGGTGGAGACGGTGTGAGAGGTCAATATGGTGATTGACCGGCCACTCGTAAGTCAAAGACAATATCAGTTGAGCATCTAGCTGAAGTACTGCGTGTTAAAGCGATTGGTTAAGAGGTATCAGACTGCAGAATATCCTCAGTGAAGAACAGAAGCTCAACTACAGGTATTATATCAAGCATCCTAATGACATTTCACACCACAGCAAGCTCACAATAATTTTGAAGTAGTCGCTGGGAATGACGGCATCTCCGTTTTTGACCCATTTGACGGTGGGGGCCGGGGAGCCTGTGACCTCACACTGGAACATGATGTCCATGGACTCGTGGGCGTAGATGTTGGCCGGCCTCTTCAGGAACTCAGGTGGAACTGCAACATACAACGGGGGCAGGGGGTCAGAGTTTGTGTAAAGCAGCGTGTGACTGTGTGTGTGTCTGTCTGTTCGAGTCTGTTGTGTGTTGTCGGTGGGTGAGTCCGGTGTGTGTGTGTCGTCTGTGTGGTTCGGTCTGTGTGTGTCTGTCTGTGAGTCTGTGTGTGTCGGTGTGTGCGTCTGCGCGTCTGTCTGTCTGCGCGTCTGTCTGTCTGCGCGCCTGTCTGTCTGCGCGCCTGTCTGTCTGCGCGCCTGTCTGTCTGTCTGCGCGCCTGTCGTCCTTGTCTGCGCGCCTGTCTGTCTGTCTGCGCGCCTGTCTGTCTGTCTGCGCGCCTGTCTGTCTGTCTGCGCGCCTGTCCGTTCGTCCGCGCGCGCCTGTCCGTCCGTGCTCGTCTGTCTGTGTGGGTTTCTGTCTTTCTGTGTGGGTGGGTGTCTGTCTGTGCGCGCGTCTGTGTATAACTGTCTACTGAGAAATAATTGAATGTGAGATTGCCTATTATGACTTAGATATGAGAACTCTGTTCTCAGTTGTCCTCTTGTAATGTGAAGGGTAACGCTCCATAACAGGCTGTTAAACAACACTGTAGCGTGTTCCCAGCTGCAGGCTACTTGATGGAATAGTTAGTGAGAACTGGAAAATCGAATGGAATCAGATAAAGAACATAACGTTCCACTGAAAACTTGGACGGTAGAGACGGAGGAAGGGAGAATGCAGGGACTCATAGCTAAATCCAGTCAAAACTAAGCATGTCAAATGTATCTGACGATATACAAATTAAAACCAATTTCAGCTACATCCTGTCTCTTTCCATCTTTGCCAGTGAAGGGAGAAAAACGTTTTGGCTTCAACTTCCCCTGACCCTTTAACTAAATGGCAATCCTTAAGACATGTTTTCCAACCAGAAAAATACAAAGCAAAGTCCTCGTCCTATTTCCTATCTCCATCTTCCCTGTAGTCTTTAGTAACAAAGCATCTCAAAGTAATTCAAAACAACTGCCTATAATTACAGTGTCCCTGTGTCTCATCCTATGGAGCGTTGTGTACAGACGGAGATCTTCCCCAGACCAGGGTAATGAGGGCAGGGTAAAGTTATTTGATCGTCTGTGGAGATAAATAGCCTCATCCATCTCTCCTGTAACAAGGTCATGCAGAGCGCCGCGTCTCAGCCTTGTCCTTTACAGTGTAATTGGAGTGTGGCTCTGAGGAGGGGGACTGTGTGTGTAGGATTGTGTGTGTGCCCGAGTGAGTGTGTGTGTGGTGTGTGTGTGTGTGTGTGTGTGTGTGAGTGTGTGTGTGTGAGTGTGTGTGTGTGTGTGTGTGTGTGTGTGTGTGTGTGTGTCCAGCTCAGTGCTCTGATAAGACGTGACCTCTAACCGAGGTGTAATGGCTGTGTTGTTGGCGAGTAGCGTCGTGTCAAGCCTATGTATCAGCCTTCACAGCTCTCCAACAGCATGCCATTAACATCCCATTCACATGTGGACCACAGACGATTGTGGTTAACAGTTGGGTGGATAAGGTCCTTTCTACTCTGGGGGAATAGAGGGGTGGGTTCAATGCCGTAATCAGCAAGGGTAACGGTTCTATAATATAATGACATGATCATTTAGCCGGCGCTCTTATCCAGAGCAATTTACAGTTAATAGCCTACAGATATTCAGTCGTGGTATATGTAAGTCTTACCCATAACTTTAATTAAACTCCATGCTCCAACCATATGAGCCATTGTTCTGACTGGCACCCCATCGTCTAACTGGAATATATCTTGTTCTGACTGTCAGCACGTTGTCTAACTGGAATATACACTACATGACCAAAAGTATGTGGACACCTGCTCGTCGAACATCTCATTCCAAAATCTTTGGCATTAATATGGAGTTTCCCCCCCCCCCCCCCTTTGTTGCTATAACAGCCTCCACTCTTCTGGGAAGGCTTTCCACTAGATGTTGGAACATCCATTCAGCCATAAGAGCATTAGTGAGGTCGGCACTGATGTTGGGCGATTAGGCCTGGCTCGCAGTCAGCGTTCCAATTCATCCCAAAGGTGTTCGACGGGGTTGACGTCAGGGCTCTGTGCAGGCCAGTCAAGTTCTTCCACACCGATCTCGACAAACCATTTCTGTATGGACCTCGCTTTGTGCATGGGGGCATTGTCATGCTGAAACAGGAAAGGGCCTTCCCCAAACTGTTGCCACAAAGTTGGAAGCACAGTATCGTCTAGAATGTCATTGTATGCTGTAGCGTTAAGAATTCCCTTCACTGGAATTAAGGGCCCTAGCACAAACCATGAAAAACAGCCCCAGACCATTATTCCTTCTCCACCAAACTTTACAGTTGGCACTATGCATTCGGGCAGGTAGCGTTCTCCTGGTATCCGCCAAACCCAAATTAGTCTGTCGGACTGCCAGATGGTGAAGCGTGATTCATCACTCCAGAGAACACATTTCCACTGCTCCAGATTCCAATGGCGGCGAGCTTTACACCACACAGTCCTTGTGCTGACGTTGCTTCCAGAGGCAGTTTGGAACTCGGTAGCGAGTGTTACAACCGAGGACAGACAATATTTACGCACTACGCACTTCAGCACTTGGCGGTCCCGTTCTGTGAGCTTGTGTGGCCTACCACTTCGCGGCTGAGCCGTTGTTGCTCCTAGACGTTTCCACTTCACAAATAACAGCACTTACAGTTGACCGGGGCATCTCTAGCAGGGCAGAAATTTGACGAACTGACTCGTTGGAAAGGTGGCATCCTATGACGGTGTCACGTTGAAAGTCACTGAGCTCTTCAGGAAGGCCATTCTACTGCCAATGTTTTTCTATGGAGATTACATGGCTGTGTGCTCGATTTGATACACCTGTCAGCAACAGGTGTGGCTGAAATAGCCAAATCCACTAATCTGAAGGGGTGTCCACATACTTTTGTATATATAGTGTATATTGTAAACAGCATGAATGTCCTAATCTGAAATGGTATGTTCCTCTGGTACAGCCACCATATTGTACACTAAACAAGGGCTATAATGTTCTTATAGCGTGTAGTTGTCAGCCCCTCATTGGCCTGCTTCATGCAGTGTTTATTGGGGAACAGTTTGAGATGGGACCACTGCTAACACAGTGTGGTGTTGTTGAGATGGGACTACTGCTAACAGTGTGGTGTTGTTGAGATGGGACTACTGCTAACAGTGTGGTGTTGTTGAGATGGGACTACTGCTAACAGTGTGGTGTTGTTGAGATGGGACTACTGCTAACACAGTGTGGTGTTGTTGAGATGGGACTACTGCTAACACAGTGTGGTGTTGTTGAGATGGGACTACTGCTAACAGTGTGGTGTTGTTGAGATGGGACTACTGCTAACAGTGTGGTGTTGTTGAGATGGGACCACTGCTAACAGTGTGGTGTTGTTGAGATGGGACTACTGCTAACAGTGTGTGTTTGGCTTGAGTGTTGGGATCACTGCTAACAGTGTGGTGTTGTTGAGATGGACTACTGCTAACAGTGTGGTTGTTGAGATGGGACTACTGCTAACAGTGTGGTGTTGTTGAGATGGGACTACTGCTAACAGTGTGTGTTGTTGGAGAATGGGAACACTGCTAACAGTGTGGTTTGTTGAGATGGGACACTGCTAACAGTGTGCGTTTGTTGAGATGGGACTACTGCTAACAGTGTGGTGTTGTTGAGATGGGACTACTGCTAACAGTGTGGTGTTGTTGAGATGGGACTACTGCTAACAGTGTGGTGTTGTTGAGATGGGACTACTGCTAACAGTGTGGTGTTGTTGAGATGGGACTACTGCTAACAGTGTGGTGTTGTTGAGATGGGACTACTGCTAACAGTGTGGTGTTGTTGAGATGGGACTACTGCTAACAGTGTGGTGTTGTTGAGATGGGACTACTGCTAACAGTGTGGTGTTGTGAGATGGGACTACTGCTAACAGTGTGGTGTTGTTGAGATGGGACACTGCTAACAGTGTGGTTTGTTGAGATGGGACACTGCTAACAGTGTGGTGTTGTTGAGATGGGACACTGCTAACAGTGTGGGTTGTTGAGATGGGACCACTGCTAACAGTGTGGTGTTGTTGAGATGGGACTACTGCTAACAGTGTGGTGTGTTGTTGAGATGGGACCACTGCTAACAGTGTGGTGTTGTTGAGATGGGACTACTGCTAACAGTGTGGTGTTGTTGAGATGGGACTACTGCTAACAGTGTGGTGTTGTTGAGATGGGACTACTGCTAACAGTGTGGTGTTGTTGAGATGGGACTACTGTTAAGTGTGGTGTTGTTGAGATGGGACTACTGCTAACGTGTGGTGTTGTTGAGATGGGACTACTGCTAACAGTGTGGTGTTGTTGAGATGGGACTACTGCTAACAGTGTGGTGTTGTTGAGATGGGACTACTGCTTAACAGTGTGGTGTTGTTGAGATGGGACTACTGCTAACAGTGTGGTGTTGTTGAGATGGGACTACTGCTAACAGTGTGGTGTTGTTGAGATGGGACAACTGCTAACACAGTGTGGTGTTGTTGAGATGGGACTACTGCTAACAGTGTGGTGTTGTTGAGATGGGACTACTGCTAAGTGTGGTGTTGTTGAGATGGGACTACTGCTAAGTGTGGTGTTGTTGAGATTGTACTACTGCTACAGTGTGGTGTTGTGAGTGGGGATACTGCTAAACAGGTGGTGTCGTTGAGATGGGGACTACTGCTAACAGTGTTGGTGTTGTTGAGATGGGACTACATGCTAACAGTGTGGTGTTGTGAGATGGGACTATGCGAACCAGTTGTGGTGGTTGAGATGGGACTACTGCCAACACAGTGTGTGTTGTTGAGATGGGACTACTGTAACAGTGTGTGGTGTTTGTTGAGATGGGAACTACTGAGTGTGTACGTGAGTTTGAGAGCGAGAGAGAGAGAGAGAGAGAGAGAGAGAGAGAGTGTGTGTGATAAAGGGAAGAGA